CTGGTTTTCACGAAGAAGATTGCGTAAAATGCCATCTTGAGTGTTACAGACAAAGGGAAAGACAGACAGACAGACAGAAATAGAGATAAGACTCGTTTCTGCTTCTTTAATGTATAAAACGTAAAAATAACCTAAAAGTATATAATTCTGAGCAAAGTACAGACAAAACTCTAATTTTATTTATATAGATGATGTAAATGAAATACATGTTGTTGTCGTGAGCAACACCAACATTACGTAAACTGTCCCGGATATATACTCTGAACGTACTCCTTTACTATAACAGTCTTGCAGTAGCACTAGCAGTATACGGTGAGAACATGATACCATCCGCGTGCCATACAAGAGTGATTGTTGTTCCATAAATACTCTTGACTGACAGTTCGTGACATCCTCACTGCAGCTATTTTTTGACTCTTTGAATAAAAAAAATCCGTAACAGAGGATTTACTTTCGCTTGTTTATTTGCATCGTGGTAAGTGTACCATTTATGTTATGTATTTTATTTTGTCTGCATTTGGTTGAACACTAGAGTTACAATAAAAGGTTTAAATTGTCTGTATCCGTCAAGTGATCCTGGTTTGTAGTTAGTTAACTACAGCTGTTTCGTGTTGTTATAAACACATTTTCAGGTCCTGAGGTTCTGTCATAAGGTTCACAAAAATAACACATACACGTACACGAAACATTAAACATTAATTGGCCAAAACACAAATACAAAAAACGCATGACTGCAAGAGAAGGGCAGTCATGGCCTACCTTCTACCGGCGCCGTACGTGTCCGATGTCTATTACGCGTTTTTCGTATTTGTGTTTTGGCCAATTAATGTTTCATGTTTCGCGTACGTGTATGTGTTTTTTTTTTTTTTGTGAACTTTAAACCTTATGACGACCATTCCATCGAATAAATCAATGCAACGTTTGACCTGAAGATGTGTTCATAACAACACGAAACTGATGTAGTCAACTAACTACAAACCAGGATCACTTGACGGATACAGGTAATTTAAATCTTGTATTGTAAAAACGAGTGATCCAGAGGATATACCATAAAAATGACACAAGTGTTAGCTTAGTTCGTCATTAACAGTTGTAATAAATTGATTACATGTTTCTTAAAGTTATTCCCTTTGCCGGAAATTCATCCACTAAAAAATAAAGACATGGCTAAATAAGTGAATATAGCGATTGGTCTACAAAGCAGCGATACAAATTAAGAAATGTATATGGCAGTTCATAAAGTGACGGTAATAATGATAACTTTTCCTTTAAAGATTCCACAGATGATGAAAACTTTGATATTCAACAACTATTTGTTGCTGATGAAGTGATTGAGATGATTGAACCTGAAGTATACCTGTGTCGTAAATACTTTATTTTACAATTGTTTGTTGCGAAAACCACTATTACAATTCTTGCAATAGATATTAAAGGAAAATAAAAACAACATTGTTGTAATTTACCAGAAACCCCTAGAATCCTCAGATAATCTTTGTGTACATGTAAAAACCTGTTTTAAAACAATCTACTTTGGTGTATTATAATCAAAAGACTAACTCGACTATTACGTTATCACATTAGAGAAAACTACAACTTCTATTTTTCCTAATTTCACGAGTTAGTGGGTTTTGGATAAAGTATGTGCTAATATTGTTATAAACATTTTCACTGAATTAAATTTCACTTCGTTTCAATGAGGATTTTAAATACGTCTCAATTTCAGGTTATCCATCAAGATATGTTTTTTTTCCTTTTACAGCAGTTTTTGGGAGAAAGAACGTGTCACTCCCAAATGCACCAATCTGGACACAGAGTTATTTGACCTGGAACCCTTGGGGGACACCGCTAAAACGTGTAACGAAAAGACCATTAAGACACAAGATTTTTCATAACTTTTGGGAGAGAGTATGCGACTCCTTGGACCCCTAAATTGGAAAACACAATTTTTTGACCTTGAACTTCAGAGAGACACAGAAATAATGTGTCGCAAAGAAAATATAGTGGGAAATTTTACGTCAGTTGGGGGAGAGTATTTGTCTCCCCAACAAGCACCGAATTTGAACACGGAACTGTTGGAATTGGAAGTTCTAGCAGACACAGAAAGAATGTCTATGGAACAGAATGTAGGACAAGATGTAACATCCACACTCCAAGAAGCACCAGACGTCTATGAAGCTCATGTAAGTATAAAATTTGCTAACATCAAGTTAGGATTTTTATTTTACAATCAAGATTTTTAAGTCTTTAAATTTACTTATATTTTCAAACATTGCAATTTGATTAATAGATCATGTAAGTTTACGATTTGTTAACCATCAAGTTAGGACTTTTAAATAAGTCAACCCTAAGTATGTCTTTACATTTTTATCCAAATGCTGAATTCGTGACACAAAAGCTGAATGTTTACAGCTGTTATGTTAAACAAATTATTTTATGCCAAAAGCTAGTTTAGAATCTTAGCGTCGGCTGCTAGACTTTTTAAAAATTAAAACTTAATTTAAAAAACTGGGACCCTAAACTAAAATTATGGCTTCGACATTCCCTAGTTCTCAAAATTATCTTTCTTTCAACACAAAAATCATGAAAATCCGTCGAGTGGTTGATTCAGAAACGTGAAATAAAAAAACACTGTTTCGTTTTAATTTTATAGATAGATTTAGCATTTTCGTATTAATGGTATTAATAAATACTTAATATTTTTAAAGTGGAACTTTCAGTACACATTAAATATCCACAGTAATCACATCCAAATCTCTCAGTTATTATCATTGTCAGAACATATCTTATTATATATAGAGCTGAATGTTTACAGCTGTTATGTTAAACAAATTATTTTATGCCAAAAGCTAGTTTAGAATCTTAGCGTCGGCTGCTAGACTTTTTAAAAATTAAAACTTTAAAAAAAAAAAAAAAAAAAAACTGGGACCCTAAACTAAAATTATGGCTTCGACATTCCCTAGTTCCCAAAATTATCTTTCTTTCAACACAAAAATCATGAAAATCCGTCGAGTGGTTGATTCAGAATCGTGAAATAAAAAAAAACACTGTTTCGTTTTAATATTATAGATTTAGCATTTTGGTATTAATGGTATTAATAGATACTTAATATTTTTAAAGTGGAACTTTCAGTACACATTAAATATCCACAGTAATCACATCCAAATCACTCAGTTATTTTCATTGTCAGAACATATCTTATTATATATAGATATTTTAAAAACCTACAGTATACAACAAAAGACAATATAGCTTTCAATAGCAACATAGACACTCAGTTGGTCCGCTAACAATCGTTAGTAGGCTACTTAGCATCAACTTAAGCTACCAAACTTCTGTTTTAACCATAGAACCTACACAGAAATTGCTGAAAATGTGATACGTTTGTATACTGTTTTATGTACAAATATAATATTAAAAATGCAAAGAATGTTGTTATAATTCCCTTACACGTTCAAACCTTGGCATAGGATTCATAAACCTAACTTAAAGTAACACACTGATTGTAAAATCAATAAGAAACTCACATTAAAATTACTGAAACTCTATTTGCATCATTTTAATCAGTCTGGATATCGATAAAAGGGTTTACATTGAAGAAGAATATACAATGAGACACCATGATTGTTGTAAAATAATTCTATACGATAACATTTAAATTCATCAGAGCTATTTTCTTGGGCTACTATCTGCTATTTTGGGCTAGAAGAACTTTAAAGTTGGAAAATGTACTGTAATATACTCGAATATTACTGACTCTTTAAACCCCGTTTTAGTTGCATTATGACAAGGAGTTTGTTTCATTTTTTGTATTAAATTAAAGATGATGTAAATGAAATACATGTTGTTGTCGTGAGCAACACCAACATTACGTAAACTGTCCCGGGTATATACTCTGAACGTACTCCTTTACTATAACAGTCTTGCAGTGCAGTAGCACTAGCAGTATCCCAGTCAGCATAAAAATTGTTGAAAAGCCAAAAAAATTGTTGTACAACAATTTTAAAAGAGTTTGCAACAATTTCAAAATAAGTTTGGATATAAAACAATTTTAATATAAGTTTTAAACAATTTCAAAATTGTTTTAATATAGATGGTTAGTAACTATATTAAAATTGTTTTGATATGAGTGTGCAACAATTTTAAAATTGTTTTAAAACAATTTTAATACTATTTCGAAAACACATATCAAAATTGTTTTGATATAAGTTTACAACAGTTTTAAAATTGTTTGGAAACAATTTTAATACTATTTCGAAAACACATATCAAAATTGTTTTGATATAAGTTTGCAACAGTTTTAAAATTGTTTTGAAACAATTTTAATAATGTTTCGAAAACACGTATCACAATTGTATTGATATAAGTTTACAACAATCTTAAAATTGTTTTAAACCAATTTAAATGCAACTTCTAACAATCATTAAAATAATAATTAATGTTATAAAACCAAAATGTTCTGGATATTATATTTATGAAAGCGGCTTTCCTTTCAGTAATATAAGTTACAAAAATTACAATGGCCATCCATAATCTTGAAATGGTCTGTTTTGTAAAAAGATTTTCGTGTTTTTTCGCCCAAATTTTAAATCTTTCGCGCATTTTTTCTATTTTTCCTTATGGGACACTTATACTTGTAGGATAATAGCATAGATAAATCATGATAATAGTCAGTGTGTCGTGCTGTGTGTATGTGCCAATGCAACGACAGCTCCCCGCGATTTTGATTAGAGTACAGTACGATAGTGGTAAAATCAAGTGAAAGAGTCATGGAGGAGGGGCAGACTGCCAAACTCAAGTTAAAGCGGAACCTGTATAAGTTTAATGGTTAATAACAACAGGTTAACAGTCGTGAAAATAAATTATTTATTATTTGTAATTGTATAAGTATACTGGATCAGTTTTAACATTCTTACAAGTATCATCTACTCTAGACTCTACCAGAGTTTCGCAGTTCACTGACTACAGCAGTCTCCAGTCTGTTGATTTGATTTTGATCACAGGCTGACGGCATCACGGCATTTTGTTTATGTTTGATTGTTTGAAAAGTTATTAGGTGCATTAAGTTTACTGATTTTATCCTACATAGCTTCTTAAGCAGCAAACAAGGTGAGCTATAACTTACTTAGGCCTAACTTGAAATGAAATAGTTCCAATAGTTATAGAAATAGACCAATAGTTCCTGGTCTAAGTTAACCAATAACTTTGATAGGTATTTGGTAGGTAACATGATTATGGCCCATCTCTGGAATTGGCCTAGCCTATGTGAGCAAACTCTAATTAATTTCCTTTTGTTTCTCATAAATATAACAGGCTATGTTACTGAAACTGTAAGTTACTGTTGGGTTTTTAGTAAATGGTCGTTGCTAAATGATACAGTTGGATTTACAGTAACTTAAACTAAAATAACTCAGACCTAACTTACACAAGGCATCTAACATTAAGTTTATAAACTCATAATTGAATTGAATTACTCACTTAGGTGGCGTCCCCAACTCAAGTAGAAAATGACATTGTAGGGCCTGTCGCCTAATGCGGTAACTGCTTAAAAGTAATATGACTAGGTATTTAGGCTTAGGCCTAGCTAAGTTACATCAGCTAGGGATTGATTTTTAAGTTAAGTTAGCCTATTTTTAAACTTGTTGTGTTAAGGGCTGCAGGGGTTTTTAAACTCTATTAAGTTAAGTTTACAAATATGTTAACTTACTAGACCTTGAAACTTGGTTAACTCAAAATTTAACCCTCCGAGTGTTAAGCGTCGCGTAATCGACGCACAACACACCCGCCGTGGTGTTATGCGTCGCTTTTGCGACACACAAACATTGTTTATGGCGAAGGCTCTGGGACTGCCTTAATCATATTGAACTGGATCGAGATTGGCATCGTTTTCAGCAGATTCTAAGCTTTCTCCTGATGTCTGTTTCTATAGGCTTTTCATTTTAGTTCCGAAAATATTTTAGCAGACAGCTGACTTGCGTATTTGTAAACAACTTGGTTAACCTCGTACCGATGACTGATGTGTTTTATTAAACGTTTCTATTGTTTTAGTGTTAAAAATAAAAAGTAGTGATAAGTTATAGCCTACGTGGTGCATTATAAGAAGATTTAAGTGATTTAGAAGGGCTGGTTGATGATCCTGAAGAAGTAACCCGGTAGTCCGGTAGTGATATTGATGTAAATTATCGGCCAGATTCCTAGCTATGGTTAGGCTATGCATTCTTAACTAACGCTTAATGTACGAAATCTGTTTTTCACCCGTAACTTATTTATTTGCAAATTTACTTCCTTATATTATTATATTTTTGTAATCCTTATAAAATTTAGAACAAAGTGGCTATTTTAAAATATTTGTAGACTTTATAAAAAAAAATATTGAGCGCAAACATACATGTTAGGCTATTCATTTATTATATAATTTTTGAGAAATGTTAACCCCACAAAAATTGCAGAATTTTTTTTGCAATGTTCTATTAAATGCATTTTGTTTTTTGAAGAAATGACGAAGAAGAGATGGGCCAACATTGAACAAAGCAAAATAGAGAAATCAGTTGCTTCATGGCTGGCACAGACACAATTAAAATCAAAGACTTAGAAAGGGTATGTATAGTGTGATAATTTGTATTACAAAATTCACTTAGTGAGGTTAAAAACATAGGCTAACAAAACAATGTGCTACTAGCTTTCTCTCTTCATTCCGGATGCTTCAGTTTCGATAGTATATTGTTATACTAAAGCTCAGGTGATTTTCTTTATCTCAGACAAATACTGCAACAATCATTAATACTTGACAGGGTTTTTTTATTTCACGATTCTGAATCTACCACTTGATGGATTTTCACCATTTTTGTGTCGAAAGAAAGATAATTTTGAGAACTAGGGAATGTCAAAGGCACAATTTTAGTTTAGGGTTTCAGTTTAGAAATTAAGTTTTCATTTTTTTAAGTCAAGCAGCCGACGTCAACATTCTAGACTAGCTTTTGCTATAATGCCATTTGCTTAACGTAACAGCTGTAAACATTCAGGGGTCCCTAGTAACGAAATATAATATTAATCTGTGTGTTATAATTTTAGGGCAGGGTGTCAAAGAGCACCTGAAGAACAGGAAGATGAGGATCATGAAGCCGCCGACGCTTGAATGATGTGTAAATAATGTATTGTCAGGGTGTCTACGAACCGGGAAATCCGGGAATGAACTTATTTTTTTACTGAAATTTACTATTTTTAGTAAATATGGGTAGTTTTTAGTGGTAATTGTCCTTAAATAGTTGTGTGGACCATTTTAAGTATGACATAAAAATTTGTTAGGAACATAAAAGGTTTTTTATCAAATGTTTGCTTACATTTTCATCATTTATCACTATAGAGTAATTATGCAATAGAAACCACATTAGCAGTCTCAAAGCCATAAATATTTTATCTTGACAATCACATCAAGTCAAGTACTTCAAAAAACTTATGACTCAGTAGCAAAGCTCATAAAAGTTGTATCACTGTCATTCCTTGGCAACTTATTTATTTATTACTAGGGTAATTATCATTAGATCCCAAACCTATTTGATCATGGAAATAATAGTTTTATATTAGCTGTTAAATTTAACTTCTTTTGTACTTTCATCTTGAAGATTCAATTTGCCGCTGGCTGTTGCCTACTCCTTTAAAAACTGTTTACGGTTTCATATTAAACTTCGAATTAATATACAGTGTTATTTTATAAGTTAAATCTTTTTTTATGGACATTTTATCTTTCAATTGACAAAACCACGAGCATTGTTGTTTGCATTAATTTTTTATCATCACACAGGCCTACTTGGTCTCAAAAAATCATGTCCTTGCATTTTATGTATCTTTTACTTATATTGTTGGCTGTTTGGGTTTCATTATTTTTTTGTTCCCCATATTTATTTATTGTGTTGTATGCTTTAAGCAATCTAAATCTTATAAACTAGAATGATGATAATTTGCTGCTATTATAACCTCATTGTTTGTTACTTAGTTGTGTCCATGAATATTTTATTTTTATATCCATGCATCCATTTCTACTTTGTTAATCCAGAATGTAGTAGACTGTGTTTTTATTATTTCTCTACTTTTTTAATTATTGTTTACTTCAAATAGAAGAATTTCAGTATACTTATTTCTTTTTATTTATTCACCATTGTTTTTTATAGTAAACTAATCAATTAATGTTATATTTAATTAGTTGCTATAGGCGTACTTATTATGAACTCAAATAGAAATTAACCCTAACAAAGTTCCAAATTTGTCTATTTTAAAACAATTTCCAAACAACTTCAAAATTGTTGTACAACAATTTTAAAACTTTAAAACAACTTCAAAAATATTTTATAACAATTTTAAAATTGTTGTACAACAATTTTAAACTTATTTTAATATAGACAAAATTCCAAATTTGTCAATTTTGAAACAATTTTAAAACAATTTCGAAACAATTTTGAAACAATTTTAAAACAATTTATTTTCTTTTCCAACAATTTTTATGCTGACTGGGATACGGCGGGAACATGATACCATCCGCGTGCCATACAAGAGTGATTGTTGTTCCATAAATACTCTTGACTGACAGTTCGTGACATCCTCACTGCAGCTATTTTTTGACTCTTTGAATAAAAAAAATCCGTAACAGAGGATTTACTTTCGCTTGTTTATTTGCATCGTGGTAAGTGTACCATTTATGTTATGTATTTTATTTTGTCTGCATTTGGTTGAACACTAGAGTTACAATAAAAGGTTTAAATTGTCTGTATCCGTCAAGTGATCCTGGTTTGTAGTTAGTTAACTAAAGCTGTTTCGTGTTGTTATAAACACATTTTCAGGTCCTGAGGTTCTGTCATAAGGTTCACAAAAATAACACATACACGTACACGAAACATTAAACATTAATTGGCCAAAACACAAATACAAAAAACGCATGACTGCAAGAGAAGGGCAGTCATGGCCTACCTTCTACCGGCGCCGTACGTGTCCGATGTCTATTACGCGTTTTTCGTATTTGTGTTTTGGCCAATTAATGTTTCATGTTTCGCGTACGTGTATGTGTTTTTTTTTTTTGTGAACTTTAAACCTTATGACGACCATTCCATCGAATAAATCAATGCAACGTTTGACCTGAAGATGTGTTCATAACAACACGAAACTGATGTAGTCAACTAACTACAAACCAGGATCACTTGACGGATACAGGTAATTTAAATCTTTTATTGTAAAAACGAGTGATCCAGAGGATATACCATAAAAATGACACAAGAGTTAGCTTAGTTCGTCATTAACAGTTGTAATAAATTGATTACATGTTTCTTAAAGTTATTCCCTTTGCCGGAAATTCATCCACTAAAAAATAAAGACATGGCTAAATAAGTGAATATAGCGATTGGTCTACAAAGCAGCGATACAAATTAAGAAATGTATATGGCAGTTCATAAAGTGACGGTAATAATGATAACTTTTCCTTTAAAGATTCCACAGATGATGAAAACTTTGATATTCAACAACTATTTGTTGCTGATGAAGTGATTGAGATGATTGAACCTGAAGTATACCTGTGTCGTAAATACTTTATTTTACAATTGTTTGTTGCGAAAACCACTATTACAATTCTTGCAATAGATATTAAAGGAAAATAAAAACAACATTGTTGTAATTTACCAGAAACCCCTAGAATCCTCAGATAATCTTTGTGTACATGTAAAAACCTGTTTTAAAACAATCTACTTTGGTGTATTATAATCAAAAGACTAACTCGACTATTACGTTATCACATTAGAGAAAACTACAACTTCTATTTTTCCTAATTTCACGAGTTAGTGGGTTTTGGATAAAGTATGTGCTAATATTGTTATAAACATTTTCACTGAATTAAATTTCACTTCGTTTCAATGAGGATTTTAAATACGTCTCAATTTCAGGTTATCCATCAAGATATGTTTTTTTTCCTTTTACAGCAGTTTTTGGGAGAAAGAACGTGTCACTCCCAAATGCACCAATCTGGACACAGAGTTATTTGACCTGGAACCCTTGGGGGACACCGCTAAAACGTGTAACGAAAAGACCATTAAGACACAAGATTTTTCATAACTTTTGGGAGAGAGTATGCGACTCCTTGGACCCCTAAATTGGAAAACACAATTTTTTGACCTTGAACTTCAGAGAGACACAGAAATAATGTGTCGCAAAGAAAATATAGTGGGAAATTTTACGTCAGTTGGGGGAGAGTATTTGTCTCCCCAACAAGCACCGAATTTGAACACGGAACTGTTGGAATTGGAAGTTCTAGCAGACACAGAAAGAATGTCTATGGAACAGAATGTAGGACAAGATGTAACATCCACACTCCAAGAAGCACCAGACGTCTATGAAGCTCATGTAAGTATAAAATTTGCTAACATCAAGTTAGGATTTTTATTTTACAATCAAGATTTTTAAGTCTTTAAATTTACTTATATTTTCAAACATTGCAATTTGATTAATAGATCATGTAAGTTTACGATTTGTTAACCATCAAGTTAGGACTTTTAAATAAGTCAACCCTAAGTATGTCTTTACATTTTTATCCAAATGCTGAATTCGTGACACAAAAGCTGAATGTTTACAGCTGTTATGTTAAACAAATTATTTTATGCCAAAAGCTAGTTTAGAATCTTAGCGTCGGCTGCTAGACTTTTTAAAAATTAAAACTTAATTTAAAAAACTGGGACCCTAAACTAAAATTATGGCTTCGACATTCCCTAGTTCTCAAAATTATCTTTCTTTCAACACAAAAATCATGAAAATCCGTCGAGTGGTTGATTCAGAAACGTGAAATAAAAAAACACTGTTTCGTTTTAATTTTATAGATAGATTTAGCATTTTCGTATTAATGGTATTAATAAATACTTAATATTTTTAAAGTGGAACTTTCAGTACACATTAAATATCTACAGTAATCACATCCAAATCTCACAGTTATTATCATTGTCAGAACATATCTTATTATATATAGAGCTGAATGTTTACAGCTGTTATGTTAAACAAATTATTTTATGCCAAAAGCTAGTTTAGAATCTTAGCGTCGGCTGCTAGACTTTTTAAAAATTAAAACTTTATTTAAAAAAAAAAAAAAAACTGGGACCCTAAACTAAAATTATGGCTTCGACATTCCCTAGTTCCCAAAATTATCTTTCTTTCAACACAAAAATCATGAAAATCCGTCGAGTGGTTGATTCAGAATCGTGAAATAAAAAAAAAACACTGTTTCGTTTTAATATTATAGATTTAGCATTTTGGTATTAATGGTATTAATAGATACTTAATATTTTTAAAGTGGAACTTTCAGTACACATTAAATATCCACAGTAATCACATCCAAATCACTCAGTTATTTTCATTGTCAGAACATATCTTATTATATAGATATTTTAAAAACCTACAGTATACAACAAAAGACAATATAGCTTTCAATAGCAACATAGACACTCAGTTGGTCCGCTAACAATCGTTAGTAGTCTACTTAGCATCAACTTAAGCTACCAAACTTCTGTTTTAACCATAGAACCTACACAGAAATTGCTGAAAATGTGATACGTTTGTATACTGTTTTATGTACAAATATAATATTAAAAATGCAAAGAATGTTGTTATAATTCCCTTACACGTTCAAACCTTGGTATAGGTTTCATAAACCTAACTTAAAGTAACACACTGATTGTAAAATCAATAAGAAACTCACATTAAAATTACTGAAACTCTATTTGCATCATTTTAATCAGTCTGGATATCGATAAAAGGGTATACATTGAAGAAGAATATACAATGAGACACCATGATTGTTGCAAAAAAATTCTATACGATAACATTTAAATTCATCAGAGCTATTTTCTTGGGCTACTATCGGCTATTTTGGGCTAGAAGAACTTTAAAGTTGGAAAATGTACTGTAATATACTCGAATATTACTGACTCTTTAAACCCCGTTTTAGTTGCATTATGACAAGGAGTTTGTTTCATTTTTTGTATTTAATTAAAGATGATGTAAATGAAATACATGTTGTTGTCGTGAGCAACACCAACATTACGTAAACTGTCCCGGGTATATACTCTGAACGTACTCCTTTACTATAACAGTCTTGCAGTGCAGTAGCACTAGCAGTATACGGCGGGAACATGATACCATCCGCG